CGTAAAATCAAGAAACAATTATCTGTTAGTTTTGCATATTTAGTTATAAATATTTTGTTAAAAATTACATAAAAAGGGTTAAATACTTGATCGGGAATTCTTATTCAAAATGCCTCACGAAATCTGGATAAATCATTCTGGGCTAGACACGGCTACACAGAATAGTAATACATAACAGGACTGGCTTAAAAAATAATAATAATAATCCATCGTAGCTGAAAATATTTAAATGCAGAATGAATACATATTAAAAAGAGTATAAAACGTCTGTATAAAATTAGATGAAAAACGGGGAGACCTGTAAGGATCTTAGATTAGTAGACGTTAAAACAATTGGTTAAAAGCTTTAGACAAGTAACTGGAGGGGTTAAAACCCGTGAGAACAAAGACTGAAAAACCTCCTGACAGTCCATAAGTTAGATAGGTTATCACACAGAATTCGTAGCAAAGAATTAAAGGAGAACTATGAGATGAGTGATTTCCACTCATCTCATAGTTCTAAGCCGACCTGTGACAATGAGACTGTCACAGGTCGGCTCAGTAGATCGGGAGGTGAGGGAACACATACCGGGTTCCCTCACCTCTCGATCCTGTCACGGCTCTCTGCCGTGACAGGGGGAGGGGCTGGATTCCCCTCTCCCCGCTCCGATCTGCCAGCGCTGACTGGCGGAACGGACGGGGGAGGGGGCGGGTACAGCTGGCTCTGCCTCTAGATAGGCAGAGCCAGCTGTCACTCACGCAGCTGGGCGGATCCCGTCATCTACGTCGGGATCCGCTCCAGGTGCGGCGTCTCAGTATACCGCGAGCTGTAGCTCGCGGTATACTGAGCTTAGGGTAACGGGAGGACGCTAGTTTGTGTCCTCCCGTTACCCTAAGGAGAACTATGGGGAAAAACACTGACCCCATAGTTCTCCTTTAATACAGTGATTACATTTGAAGGATAACAGCGCTAAGGATTACAGCATCACTCAGCCACAAAAAGTAGCAGTTTAGAAAGTGTAACAAAATTACATCCTGACTATATATCAATACAAAAATAGCAAGTTTGTAAGATAGTTTATGACAGAACCTACTGGGCGTGTTTGAAGCAGAGCTGAAAACACCACAAAAATAGAAAGCACAACTGACATGACACAAATTATATATATATATAGCATGGTATTTCTCGGAAATTTAAGCTATGTCGTGCCACATGCATAATTGTAATCAATTGCTCTATATTTGTTATGTCTACATAAATAATCTATCTGATGTTTGAAGGAAAGGATCAGGTTTCTGGTTTGGTCAGGGTATACACTCTGTACGAAGTACACTATTTAAATAGCTATTGGGTGGGTGAAGTTATGACCATTAATTGATATATTTTGGTGGATGGAATATATACACACATAACTATATAAGCATATAACCATATAAACACATATAATAATCCATAACTTATTATACCCAGGTGTACACTACAACAGTGGTGGTTACTGTTAGGACAATATTACGAACAACCTTTACTATCTCGCTCCTAGTCATTAAACTGCCGAGGCTAATTCTAGCCCCTCATTTAGTCCTACTGGAAACAGACTATTTAGAGTATATATCCAGTAGGCTTCCCCACGGCATAATTTCTTATACCTGTTCCCTTCATCCAGATGCGTGGAGATTACCTCAATCCCAAATAGTTTGAGGCCCTCCGGATTGTAATTATGGGATTGGAAGAAATGTCTTGGGAGCGAGTGGTCCTCCACTTTTTTCAGAATATTTCGCTTATGTTCTCCGAACCTGACCCGCATAGCTCTAGTTGTCCTTCCTACATATAGTTTTCCACAGGGACACAGAATCCCGTAGATCACATAGTTGGAGGAACAGTTAATAAATTGTTTGATCCCAAAGATTTTGCCATTTGGCCCTTCGATATTTTTCTTTCTATGCCAGTGGAAATGGCAGGCCCCACAATTAGCTACATTACATCTGAAACTACCAGTTTGACCAAAGAGTCCTTTGTCACATCCTCTGTTTTTACGTGACTTGGTTTTACTAGGGGCTAACAGGCTGCGTAAATCTTGGGGTTTCCGAAAAATGACCTGGGGGGCTCTGGGGAGGTTTCTCACTAAAAATGGATCTTCCTTTAAAATCGACCAGTGTTTTTTAAGAATTGTAGATATTTGGGGTGCCGATCCATTAAACTGTGTGCAGAAGTTAGTCTGATATTTGTTATTGATCTTTTTCTTTGCCCTAGTGGTTTTTTTTTTAGGGAGAACTTGCGCAAGCTTTATTGATAAGGTCAGTATTGTATCCTTTATCCAGAAATGTATTCTTTAATTTTTCCCCTTGCTCCATATAATCCAAATCTAGAGTACAAGTTCTCCTCAGGCGTCCAAATTGGCCATCAGGCACATTTTGGATCCATCAGGGATGGTGACAACTCCTCGCATGTAAATAGGAGTTGCCTCCAGAGGGCTTAAAATGTGTCTTGGAGATAATCAGACCTTCTTCATCTTTGCCCAATTCCAAGTCTAGAAACACCAGGTGATCTTTGTTAACGACAAATGTAAAGTCCAATTTATAGGGGTTATTTCTACAGTAGTCCACAAAGTTTGAAAAGCTGGCTTCTGTTCCATCCCAAATAATAATGATATCATCTATATACCGGGCGAACAAGCCGAGATGTGCCCCAAATGGGTTGTTAGCCCAAATGAATTGGTCCTCCCACCATCCCAAAATTGGTATCGGCAAGTACATGAGGGGAAGTACTTGTACTTGGTCCTGAAAAAGTGGTATTGGGACATCCCTAGTGAATACCTTCGTTACATTGGCGGTCATTGTGAACACTTTCGTTACATTGGCGGTCATTGTGAACACTTTTGTTACATTGGCGGTCAGCGTGAATACTTTCGTTACATTGTCCTGTGAAAGACACACACACACAGAACGGAGTCCAGGAGAAGGTGAGGTGACGGGGAGGAAAATCACTAGCAGAGTGAAGAGTTAACAGAGCTCCACGACCCCATGCTGGACACAGGGGGGAGGGGGAGATAGGCACAGGTCATTGAGCCCAGCGGGTCACTGAGCGCAGAGTCCAGCGGGTCACTGATGTAACTGTGGGGGGACATTAGAGTGTAAGCTCCTCTGTACAGAGACTGATGTGACTGATGTGTCTTCTCTGTACAGCACTGCGGTATAGGTCATAGCCAGGGGCAGACTGGCCATAGAGCATACCGGGCACTTGGTGGGCTGGGCCGAACACGATCAGCCTGATTGTGTTTGGCTCCGCCTGGCCCGCTATACCCGATGGCCTGCTCAGAGCAGTGCCAGCGCTTTCAGGCGGCTGCATAGGTAGCTGTCTGAAAGCACCGGGTGGGGTGGAGGGATGGGTGTGCGGCTGGGCTTGAAAAGGGAGCCTGAGAGTGTAGTGTACCCAGGAGCGCTATGGAGCATAGGGTGCAGGGGGGCCCGACCAGGAAAAGAGTTCCCTTCAGGGGCAGACTTGGACAATGTGGGTGCTCTAGGAGGTGGGGCATCGTGCTAGTTCCCGGATTGAAAAAACTGTGTGACTAGTATCTGGGTATAGCGTGGGGGCCACGGGGGTAGTTGGGGGGTCATTATCTCTCTCCCCCTCCCTCCTCAGAGCCAGTACGGAGCAAGAGGAACCAGTATGTGTTGGTTTTTTTATCGCCCTGAATGTACCTCTCTGCATAGCAGGGCCCTGAGTCCATTGCGCCATTTCGTCGCAGATCCCTGAGTCCATTGTGCCATTTCGTCGCACAGCCCTGAGTCCATTGCACCGCAGAGTGCTGAGTCTATTGCGCCATTGTGTTGCAGAGCCCTGAGTTTATTGCGTTGCAGGGTCCAGTCCTGAGGGTGAGTATCATCATACTGCTTATAATCAGTGAAATGAATACTCATTGTAATTAGGAATGCACTGATACAGATACCAGTATTGGTATCATTGCAGATACTGGGCATTTTCATGAGTAGTTGTTCTTGTAAAGATTCCCCAATACCAGAAACCGATACCAGTGCTTTAAAGTTTCAAACTGAAGTGGCTGTCCCACGCTTGCTGGGGAACTTGGAGCAGCCTTCTTGGGAACCACACGGTGCCTGTTTACTTCCTCTAGCCCGCACATCTTCCCTCTCCTGAGACCCTCTGCACCACTCCTAAGATCCTCCGCCCGAGACCTCAGACCGGCACCCCAGAGCAGAGCGGCAGCACAAAGAATGTAGCACATTCATATACTATTATTCTGCATTTCTGTACAATGTATTGATGGGACTTGAAGTCCTCTATAGCCGGTAACATTCTGCATTGCTGTATAATGTATTTCTTGGGTTTGTAGTCCACTACAGCTTAGAGTCAGTGGCAGAAGTACCAGGGGCACACCAGTTGCAGTTGCCATGCTCCACCACTGTAGTAAAATCCTGTGTAATACACTACATATCTGTGTAATATACTATATACACATGTATGCTGTGTATTACACAGGTATGTAGTGTATTACACAGGTGTTGTTGTGGTCCGCCTATGTATGGAATTGGTGGTATTGTACCAGTGTTGCTGGAGAACTCTGAGCGCCATTTCGGGAGCACTGACCTGTACACCGTGCACGGGGTGCTGAGGACTGCTGGGGAGGCAGAAATCCGTTGAGGATTTTACAAGATTTCTCTGTAGCAAGCTTCCTATATTGTTGCAAGCTTGTGTGTCAACTGTAGCCCTCCTGTACTTACCAGCAACTGGCCCTGCCCCTCGATTGCACTTCAGTGTTTGGGCCCTCCACTCGATTGCACCTTCATGTTTGGCCCCACCCCTCGATTGGGGGCGGGGCCTTCGGGGTCACATGATTGGGCTGCTCAGTCTAAAATGCCCGGGCCTATTTTTTGTCCCAGTCCGGCCCTGATGACCATTATCATTGTTGTATGTCATAAGATGCTAAATATATTAGGTGCTGAAATAATGAAAATGTAATGTGAACATTTCTTTAAATGCATATTAGGGTGAACTGAATCTGCCAAAGAACAAGACGCTGCTGCTCTGTTTGTGTATGATGAAGAAAAGGAAAGGATGGTCACAAACAAACCTTGGTACGAAATGTGCACAGCGAAGCATGACTACAGCACCAGTGGCTGCGGCTGCTTCAGTACCCTCCTAATTCACCTCTACAAATGATTTGTGTACAACCTTGGATAAAACTAGGTCACGATCTCCAGACATGCCAGATAGATCACATCTGCCCATATCAAAGGCATCAGTCATCCCTAGACTGCCAAGCACAGACTCTAGGTCAAAGAAGTTTTCTAGCTTGAATTTGGGTAAGAAGAGTTCCACTTCAGTTTTTTCCAAATTAGATGGATTTATTATGTCCGCAAACTTGTCGAAGGTTAGTTCCTGTTCAAGCTGGAAGCAAAGACAGATTGATAGAATCAGATGCTGATTAGGAGAAGAACATATAATCTAAAGAGATCAAGCACAGTGACAATTGTTCCTCATCCACATGCAGAGGCAATTCAAATATTAACATACCACAAAACCATCGTATGGAAATACCATACAGTACTTTTTTTCAGCACAGCAGGATGCGACACTTTATGAATGCCTTGCACCACCATGTTCCCATACAGCGTAATGGAAAAAAAAAAAAAGGGAAACAGTGTGATATGCCAGGATCGGCACATAAACCCTGTGCTGGGAAGCACACACCAGCAGCTGTGCTTTGTAGTGCAGTTGCTCGTGTGAATGAGCCCTTAGGAATCAATATGTATGTGAAAGGGAAAATCAAAAGAAATCAGGAGCCATTCTTCTGCCCATTTCTATTTTGGGAGGAGTACAAACGATGCATGACTCCCAATAATCTTAATAACCTAAGGACCAAAGCAATTTTTTTTACGTTTTAGTGTCACATTTTAACCATTATTACCTGGTTTATAGGATTATTTTAAGGGTTTTAACCCTTAACTTTAAAAAAAGAATTAGGACACCCACAATAAAATGCAGTTGATACTCTTTTCAGAAATATACTTGTAGCATACATTATTTTATACCCCCCCCCCCCATGTACTTTAACGTAAGTACACTATTAAAACTGCTAAAACTGGTGCCTGCAGCATTCCTAGCAGCACACAGCAACGCACATTAGTGCATTGCCACAAGTGCTGCATTGTAATGCCACTAAGAAGAATGCACTGCAGTATACCAACATGTATAATACGTGTTATGGGCCCTTAAGGTCACACTGCTAAAATATAAGCTTTGATGTAATACTGAGTGTTGCCAGCTAAAACATACTGCAGTTATTTGTAGAACAGGTTTGATAAGGAAGGGGTCTGTTTTTGATTAATAATTATTCTTTTAGCTTCTGTTTAGTCACTTGTATTTGTGTAAATAAGGAAATAAGGTGTGTTGAGCTCTCCGATAAGCAGAGAGTGATTGGGACTGAGTAAAAGGGAACGTGTCACAATAAAATACTTTGCCAGCCCTGACATCAGGAGTGTAAGTATGTGCCCTCTATACAGCCAAGCCACACACCACTTATATACAGTATGGCCAAATGTTTAAAAGAAACCAGCGCTATTGGGCTTTTGTGTAATATGAACATTCAGCCTTTTATTATTATAACTGTGCCAGCTAGGAAACAGAACGTTTAATAATAAATCACATAATCAGAATCAAATATTACAGAACACAATGGATCATATTCTTAGAAAGATCATTTCAATATTATGTAATGGTCATAGCACAATTCATATTTTAGAAATGATTTGTCAAGACTGAAAGTAAGTAAATTGATTTAATAATGGAAATCATTAGCAATGTTGTTGGTAATTATACCAAAATCTGTAAAAATGACAGAAAAATAAATCTTCCTGTAAAGATCTTACCCTTTTCTAGAGACAGTTATCTTCTTCCAGCTCTAAAACTGAATTCTGAGTAAGTTAGGTGTCACAATTCAAACAGTATGGTTGTCATTGCTCACACCAGGCACATTTCAAGAAAACACTTAGTTCAGGCATGTATTCACTAAAAATTAAATGTGTCCTAAAACACAATTGAAACCTCTGTATCTGTAAATGTTATGCAGTCAGGCTGCATATACAGTAATAATTTCACTCTTCTGTGTAATTGTACAGGTATGTGCTGCAGCAATGTTCAAAATACTCTCTTGTTGAAGTAGCACACTGGATGGTTGGATTGCAAATCTCACACACAAGCAGCGGCCCGGGTCTCCCGGGGTCCAATACCCCCTTGAACACTGATACAACCAACAGGGATGCTCAGGGAGTTAGAACACTATTGTTTGGAACAGTGTACAGAGGGGGCTGTCGGACCACTGCAATAAATCCAGCACTACACTTTAAGCACCAAATGGTGCCACGCCACACATTTAGATGGAATTCTCTGTAACTCAGGTGATAGGTTACCTTTGGTAGCTTACTGAAATGGCCCAGAGGAACACGCAGGAGGAGGGTGTGGTGAGGCTACAGAAGAATGCATGTTAAGGTACATGCAGACAACATTTGGTGCCAGCATTGTAGTGCCAGAGGTTGGTAGCACTGTTTTTACTGACAGACTTACTTAAATTGTATGGAACGCATTACATAGTAAGTCATACTAAGTCATAGTAAGTCACTGCTGCTGTGTACCAGAAATAATGCTAGCATACAACAATGTAAACAGAATTTGTTGGTATTTGTTAGTTAATAAATTAATAAACAGAGAAAAATAATTTTGGAATTCATAAGGAATAGGGTGCAACTTCCCCGGGGCACATGCAATGTTAAGGCCTAAGCATAAGTGGGATTTAAAAAATATATTTTTTTGCAGGTTTGCATTTCTTTTTTACATCACCAAAAAAATTTAATAAAGGAACACAATTAATAATAGTGGAAAAAAAGGGTTGAATATAAATGGTTAAAAAAAAATCAGCAGCAAAATAATAGCTAAGGGGAGAAATGGACGAATGAATTAATTAGGGCTGATTAGGGTTAACTGATGGTTAATAAGGGGTTAAAAGGGACACATTTTACTTGAACTTTTAAGGTTATCATATGCAGATCAAAGGTCACCTCTTTGATCTCCACATGAATGAAATAAAGGAAATGCAATGTAATAAACATTGTGTTACCTAATTATGCTTCTGAATAGTGTTGCAATTACTGTTGAGAAACTCAATTTTACACAGCAGTGAGAATAAGGAACTATAACCTGTTTTATGAATGCTGATTGTTTAGTAGATATGTGGCAGCCCTATTAAGATTCACAAGTGCCAGTCTTCAGATAAGGGCTGTTTTACTAAAACTGGACCAAAACTAAAATGCAGGCATTTCCTTAGTAATCAGATTTTCAGTTACATTTCCCAGCCTACAAAATGAAAACCAGTTGAAATAAGCAACTTGACTATTCTGACTTAGTCAACTTTTTTAAAATTTATTAGCCCAATGCATGTGAAGGGAGCTTCTCAGGATAGAAATATAAAAGCTGCCCTTTCCAGCTTGTTTTTAAAGGTGCAAGCTCTGGCTCTGCCATTCTTACTCTTGTTTTTTTGAATAGGGAGTCATTGACCTGGATCAGTTATGCAGGTCATGAGTTCTAACTTCCAGGCCAGGTCAGTGACTCGAAAAGTGAAGCCGTTATGAAGATGATAACCCTAGATTTTAAAGAAAAACTCTGCACTGCAAGGGTTAAGTGCTCATTTTCGTCTAGGTGTGAAAATAAAGTTATACTCACCTGAACCTTGCAGCCAGCTGGCTGTTAGACTGCTCCCTCTGGCCTGCTCCAGCAATGCTATGTCCCTCAGTGTCTTCATGTCTAATATACAGTGTATTGAATGTGATGACTCTCAGGACCTCAGACCGCTGGATTGGAGGGAAGGACCAGTCTAACAACTAACTGGCTTCAAGAATTGGGTGAGTATAACTTTTTTTTCCCACCTAGACGAAAACAAGCACCTCACCCTTGCAGTGTCGGTATAGCCCCACTGCAAAGGTTTAAAATGTGTTTACCCCAGAGTTTTTCTTTAAATCTTTAGAAAGAAGCAAGGAATGGCATCCCTCATGTCGGTATCCTGAGTGGTTCACAAATTATTTTTAGCAATGTCTACCAGTAGTCAGGAGGGACAGAGCTACTAGTACAAACCCTAGAAAACACTGCAAATCTACTTCTTTTTCTACCATGCTATAATACAGGCTAACTGGATTTCTCAGCTCCGGTCCTCAAAACCTTTATGCACATGAAATGCAAAGGTATATAAGCATTCTTGGTACATACTGAGCTCCCCTGGCACTTTTTATGAAACCAGATAAATGCAATACAGATCAGTGCTCCGTGAAGCATTTGCTGTGATCGGTGTTAAAGTCAACACAGACTGCAGCCTCTGTGTATCCTGATAATGCTCGCCCTGTTCAATCCACTGCTAAATAAAGCAGACCCCATCATGTACTCAAACAGGGGTCTTTGTGGACTGGTAATAGGAAATCTTCAGCCGTTTCACAACTGCAATAGAAAACCAACTTATAATAATGAAGACAATATGACTTTGCTTTATTTTGAAGAACCTTTGCTTTATTGCATGAGACCAAAAGATTTGATGTAACTAACATACATATAACTATCAAAATGAGCATGCCACATATAAAACCGCATACTGAATCAAGACATATTTTATGTTTAAAGTATAAACCTATCAACATTCACATACAGGAACAATATAAGATTAACTGTTTTTGTTACCCTATAGCAACCAGTCAACTACTCCTTGATTTTCTTACCTTCCCTAGCAACAATAAAAAGGAAGAAATTATTTGATTACAGCAGGGAACAAAGACAGATCTTCTTTCAGGCACTAAAAGCATGAAGTCTTTATTTCTTAGCACGGCAATGGCCTTAATGTATCCACCTTAAGGCATACTAAAGCGTTTTTTAATTGGTATATCATAATATAGCTTGATTGGTAGCCTTAAAATGTAATATGTGCTACTGCAGCATAGGGACCTAGGCCCAATGACTACAAATGATTACTTGAAGACGCTACAGGATTAAACACTCATATTTGCTATGTATGTAGGTGTAAAAACAATCATGTCTGAGAGTCTACCTTTTAAAGATCGTTAAAGCATTTAATATAGTAATATTTTCCTTGCCATTTAGGCAGCAGCATTGAGCCAATTACACATAGTAGAGCTGTTGTGAGTATATTTTCCTGTCATAAATTATATAGTATATGGTTTAGAAATCAAACGTTGTAGATAGTAATTACTTCATGGAAAGAAAGACACTTAAGTAAGGCACAAATGTCAGTCGGTAAACAACAAACTGTATAGATGTGAGCCTTTTCTTTATTATTTTGAGGACGGTTATGGAGATATAATCATTGTAAAACATCTTCATCTAATAGAGTTTTTAGTAATTAGGAGCTCTTGTAGGAAAACTAAACCTAAAAAAAGGCGCTTTACAAGCAAAACACAATATTCACAGATGTTTAGAAAAAAGGAGAGTATAATAAAAGCTTATTCAAAAAGGCAACACAAAGAGCAAATCTGAAGTGCAAAGGAAACCCATAGGAGAACTACTAGATCTCATCTTACAATAATCAGATCATTCAAATCTGAATTCTGAATGGGTGCCATGGGTTACTGTGGATTCTTGAATAAGCAGATGTGCTTGCTTTGGCTGTACTATCAAAAGTAAGTGTACACATAGACCTTAGACAGCGGACTAAATATATCATTTATTTAAAGATTGCTTTATGAAAGATACCTTGTAGACAATCAGTCTTATTACATTACATCTCTATTTTCTCAAATTACTCACTGCAGCACATACGTGAATTTCCTGTACCTGAGAACATCATTTCACTTTTATGCAGCACCATCTTTTTGATCTATGTGAACAGCCTTTTTAAAGTGACACTAAAGTGACAGTTCAATCCTAAAAATGCATTCAAGTACCCCAACTATTAACAGAACTGTATCTTATTTGTGTATCACTTGGCTATAGCTCCTCAAATCATCTCTGAATTGGTGCTGACACTGTCCTTCCTCCTGGAGGGTTCTACTTTTGTTCCCCATGTGTGTGTTGTAAAGTAGACACAGCTCCAAGCTCGCTCCTGTGATAGACTACAAATTCAATGCAAGTTAGCTAACTAAACGTGAGATTGGGGCAGTGACTGTTTTACAACACACACAAGGACCATGGGGGAAAAAAAGTAGCCACCCTCCATAAAGAAGGACAGTGTCAGCATGAATTCAGAGATGATTTGAAGATCTACAGATGACCTACATTTTTGTTAATAGTGTGTTTGTTTGCAATAGTTTTTTGTTTGTAATAGCTATTTGGTTGTAATAGCTAAGGTACCTGAATGCATTTCTAAGATTTAACTCCAGTGTTCAGTGTCACTTTAAACAGAACAGCCATGTGTTTTAGGTTTAGTCATCCTCAATATATCAGGGTTTGAAGTGCAGGTCCCTAGGGTGAACTGAACCTGCCACAAAACAAAATGCTACGGCTTTGCTTGTGGGTTATAAAGAACAGAAAGGGATGGTCACATAATATCCTTGGAACAATCATTACACAATTCGAATTCATAACTCCTGCTGTGGCAGCAGCTGCCTCTGTACCTTCTTCATTTACATCTATAAAAGATTTATGTACCACGTCAGAAAGCATTAGATCTTTTTTAGTAGACATTCCCGAGAAGTCCGCTTTGCAGTGAAAAGCAACAGCCATCCCCATGTCACTAAGTACAGACTTCAGGTCATAACTGTCTTCTAGCTTAAACTTTGGTACAAACAACTCGATTTCTGTTTTGTCCATCATGTCTGGGTTTGTCCACTCCAAAAATGTACTATATGTTAACTCTTTTTCAAGCTGAAAAGAACAAAACATTATGGCATTTAAAAAAAAATATCTGTACACTACTAAGCAACACTGTACACGGAAAGCCATTCATGTAAGCTGTACACTAAAAGCCATTCAACGTAAGCCAACTATGTGATTCCAGTGCTAGAAAACAAACATACTAATGCGGAAGAAAATTAATACTTAAGACAACAGTTCCTGCTTAGAACTCTTCTCGCCTTTAAAACCATTTCTTGATTTCTCAAAGGCCAGCGTGCATGTGGGCGGTCAGTAGATACAGTACTGTGCAAACGTTTTAGGAAGGTGTATCAAAAAAGCTGTAAGAATGCTTTCAAAAATATATGTTTTTGTTTATTATTATCAATTTACAAAATGCAAAGTGAGTGAACAGAAGAAAAATCTAAATCAAATCAATATTTGGTGTGGCTACTAGTTTGGGCCAAACACCCCCGTGTTCGGTTCGTATTCGAACACCCGAGCGGCCGAAAAGTTTGAATAGGAACTTGAACCTAATGCAAGTCAATAGGGGTTGAACTTTTGAAGATGATTGTCCCCTTTAAGAGGACTTATATGCAAGTTATTGTCCATAAAAGGTGTATGGGGGTCCAGGTACTGCCCTGGGGGACAGGAATCAATGAAAAAAAACAAACAGACAAAAAGAAAAACCCTTTTTAAAGGAGCAGTGATTTTAACATCACTTAAAGGGTAAGAATGAAAATTAAAAATTCCTTCAAATATCGTGCCGATAGAAATAATTTTTTTTAAACCCGCCGCCCACGGACCATCGGCTCCCTGCTGACTCACGCCGCATAATGGCATTTTGACAGATGCAGGCAAAATATAAACAATTGGGCGGAGCTAGCGGTCACATAGGCGAGACATGATTGGGCAGAGTCATCATGACTTTGCCCAATTATGGCTTCAAATGAGTACTGAGCCCTGATTGGGCAAAGTCTTGCACCTGACCTGTGGTCAGGTGCAAGTCTTTAACCAATTAGAGCTTCGGAGGGCTCTTTGCAGTATGGAACGTTGCGCGGTTGAACAGACCGCGAACATCCCATAAAGTTCGGCGAATGCTCGAGCGGCCGATGTTTGATTCAAACTCATGTTCGAATCGAACCAGCGGACCATCCCTAGTGACTATCCTATGGCTTTAAACCAGAATGAATTCTTACATTAGCACACTTGCACAAAGTCAGGGATTTTATAGGATTAGTCAGGAGTATTATTAACCAATTATACCAAGCATGTGCTAGTGATATTCAATTTCATATGTAGGTTGAAACACAGTCATTAACTGAAACAGAAACAGCTGTGTAGGAGGCTTAAAACTGGGAGAGAAACAGCCAAACTCTGCTATTAAGGTGAGGTTGTGAAAGACAGTTTCATGTCACAGGTCATACACCATGGCAAGACTGAACACAGCAACAAGACACAAGGTAGTTATACTGCATCAGCAAGGTCTCTCCCAGGCAAAGATTTCAAAGCAGACTGAAGTCTAAAGATGTGCTGTTCAAGTTCCTTTGAAGAAGCACAAAGAACTGGGCAACGTTGAGCACCCTAGACGCAGTGGTCGGCCAAGGAAACTTAAAGGAGAACTAAGAGGTGAGCGATTTTCACTCATCCTCATAGTTAGAGCCGACCTGTGACAAAGAAGCTGTCACAGGTCGGCTCTATCGATCAGGAAGTGAGGAGAAACATACCATCGATCCGCTCAATGCCCGATTGTCTCCCTGCAGTGAGTGGTGACTCTCCGATCCTCCGGCGCTGAGTGGAGGAACGAACCGGGGAGGGGGCGGGCACAGTTTGCTCTGCCCCTAGATAGGCAGAGCCATCTGTCACTCACGCGGCTGGGCGGATCTCGACAGTATTGTCGGGATCTGTCCCAGCTGTGGCGCTCTCAGTATATCGCTGGCAATAGCCCACGATATACTGAGCTTTGGGTCAAGGGAGGAGGTTAGTTTATATTTCCTCCCGTGACCCTAAAGTGAACTATGGGTAAAAACACTTACCTCATAGTTCTCTTTTATTACAGCAGAGGAAAGATACGTCATGCTTACTTCTCTTCGACACTTCCCTTGCCAAAGATGTCTTTGGCAACTAGAATAATTACATGGGAAGAGTAGGTATCCAGTAAAATGACATGACAAGCATTGGGCCACACCTTTGCCATAGCATAAAATCTCCCCCAACATCTACCCATAAAACAAACTGTACAGCAATATAAATGTAAGGCAGCAGAATATAGGCAGTTTTACACAAAAAAAACATTGTATAGAAATATAATTTTTTATTGGTTTGCAAGCACCTAATTCAATATGTAGCCTTTGGGCTATCCCTTTAATTACTGTAATCAGTATTATATCAGTCTTCCAAGAATATCAAATAAAAACCTGACCATGGAAGGTACACCTTGAATCTTTATGTAAAGTCAAACACCTCAAAAAAGGTTACACTAGAAAAGTTTCTTACCTTTTCCAAGCCTGTGGTTCCATCCTGAATTTCATCAGGGAGCATTATAAACATACTCAACTCATTATTAACATAGGGCAGTTCAATAACTTTCGTGAACAAATCTCCCACGTACGTCATTGGAAATTTGGCTTTTTTGAACATCATCTGCACAGGCTTGGTTTCATTCTAAGAACAGAAAGCAGAGAATACCTTACCACTAATGTCAGTGCTATATAAAAAAAACATAAATAATGGCTATAGCTATACAGACGACGAGTTAAAAAAAACAAAAGCTTTAAAAGAAAAAAAACTACATACATTATGTCAGGTAATGTTTAATAAATGGCTTTATAAACTGTGTGGCTTATTCTCTGTTTATCACTGCATTCACTCCAGCAGAATGATCCTGAATACAGCACCCTAATGGCCAGGGGTAATTCATACCTTCAGGGGTAAAACTTTATTTCAGTGTGCAGATTCAGCTTTTACCAGCTTTGTGTATTTGCACAAAAGTTACAGTTTTATTCTGACAGAATACATACTTCATAAAATATCATTTTAATTTAATTTAGGTTTATTATTTATGGAAGCAATTCAGAAAAATTACAAAAGCTCATTTAAATCCTTCTACAAACTTTTTCAGCTTATTTACAACACTCAACATATTCAATTTTGTCCTAGTTACAGGACACCAAACATGTATGCATTATTCACTTTTAACATAATCCTAGTCCACATTATAGGATTATTATTGTGCCTTGGATAAGTCTGTTATCCCCTGAAGACACTCCAGTGACTGATCAGCTACAGTGGCAGCCATTCCAGTGAAAAGATATTGCTTGGAATGAGGCTGTCTAACAGCCAGGTCCTGCTGGAGGAAAACATCAGCGTGGACACTGGTGCAAAGACAAAAAAAAAGATCTAGTGCTTTTTTGAATGCTCTAGAGATTGGGCAGCAGATCTCATGCCTATTACGACTAAGACTATTACGGCAGGTACACACCTAGGCGTTTGCAGTTTCGTGCAATTTTTTTGCGCGTTTTTGCTTTTAAAAATGCACGTTTCTCCCTGCATAGAAATGTTTATGGGACCAAAACCATGCAACATCCGCCTAAAAATAGCTCCAGCATCTTCTTGCGCAATGCTAAGATGTGAACAGTCGCCATTGCCTTGCATGTTAGTGTGTGTTTTGCGCATTTTCGCACGACTAGATCCGCACGCAAAAACGCTCATGTGTGAACCAGGCTTATAGTCCACAACTCCACATGTTATTGGTTATAGTCCACATGTGTACTCATAAAAATAGAATATATTTCTTGGTCTTTCCAGCAGTCAGCTAATTGCAAGGACTCTAAAATGTGGACCTGTGCAGTGACAAATGTTAATCTGTATAGGTTCAAAGACTGTAAGGTGTTGATTTGCTAAAGGCAAAAAAGCTATTTACTTTGCAGGGTATTTTCCCTTGGCTTAGTAAATGTGGGGAAAATTCACTTTGAAAAGAATACCCAATCACAAATAAGGAAAATAGAAAAAACAGTATTTTTGCTTGCAAGTGATTGGATAATGGAAGTCAACAGAGCTGCACCCCATTCACTAAGGTGAAGGGAAAATCCCCTTGCAAAGGGCAAAGTAAACGCCCTTTTTTCCTCTAGTAAATCAACCCCTAACTCCTGCAAGGCCGATACACCAAGGTGTGGATCAGTCAATCAAATTCTTTCACATTGGGTAAGACAATAAGCATTAGTTAATCAATCCACAGTGTAGCGCTAAAAGTTTTACACCCAAATAATGTTTATATTTCAAACATGACAAAGTATCAAACTTGGTGTTATAAATAAATGTCTAAATTTATCTCTGTGTAAGTGAAACTCTTGTTTAACACAACTCTTGTCTAAAACAAATGTATATATATAAGAAGTCTCTATAACTTTAAACATCTCTGTAGGAAAAAACAGGTGCACAAATCAATGTGTGAAATACAGTCCAAACAAATAAGTTATATAATGTATCCTCAAATAAACCCATATAAGTGAAAAAAGTATGCAAAAAGTCGCAACAAAAATTGTCATATAATTGTGACTTCAAAGATGTTGAAAAACTTAGTAAGAAAGTCTAATGTGAGAAAAATCCGATGAACCCAAAATGGAGCATCGAGCTCTGTTATCTTACAAAAATCAAATCAAAGTCAAGTATGTGTCCAATTGGTGATGTTCCCGTGATGTGGTAGACAGAACGAAAATCCCCTCTAGGGTTTTACCTTAAAATAATAATTTCAAAATTAAAAAAAGCTGTGAAGAAAGCTCAGTCAAGTGACTTGTCAAACGTTATGCGACGGGCCCCTCACCCAAAACAGGGTGTTAGGCGGAGAGAACATCATGACATACACACAGTGGCATTTTGTAAATGGGCCATAAAATGCTGCCATGGTGTGCAGTAAATTTGTGGCGAATAGCAAAGAGTGGATAGCGATAACCACTTTCTGTTTTGTTGCTGTTTTGTAAAACGATTCTTTCCCTAGACACGTTCAAAAATCAGGTCTTAAGTAGTTACTTAAGAGTTACTTAGTATCTGTTTTCTGTACTTAAAAATACATACCTTATTCAATTTGAATTGCATTTCTGAGGTACAATGCTTATTAAACTGGTTAGCCCAATTTCCTTTGAAGTAGATAGCATTCACTAGTACAAGTTTAGTAAGTGAATTCACACTGCCAACCGGCAACAGGTCACGGATTTTACCTAATGTGGAAAATGTGAAACAAAAATAGTAATGTACATTATGTGGTGTTGTACATTATTTATCCATACATTTTTTATTATAACAGTAAAGACCATGTTTCCCTTTACTGAGTGCAAGGAAAAGAAGAGGAAAATGATTTAAAATGTAAACCTACAAAATGAAACAGTGCTAAAAATACTATATAGAGTGCATTCATCTGCTTAAAGTGACATTAAAGGATATCCCCCCCAATGCTAGTGTAAGGAATTACCTTAAATGATGCCTCTTGATCCGATCATGTTTTTCTGTCCTGTAGTTTTCAGCAGTCCCTGCTGTGTAGTGCAGCAGTGTCGGTCTCTGATCCAGCACTGACTGCTGTGTCTTCTGTGTCCCACGGAGTCTGTGCGGGTGCACGCTGCCGGGCCGCGTGCATTGACTTACCCTGTGTCTCTCCTCGTCTCCGCCGAAGATCTGTACTGCGCATGCGCCCGTCCCATGATCCTTTGCGGCCACCCGAGATTTTTTAGGTCTTCGGACGGGAGAGCGCAGTGGAGAAACAGGTAAGTTTAAACCTTTTTCGTATGTTTAAAAAAAATGTTTTTGCATAGATCTACTGCTTGATATCAGTAGATCTATGCAAAAACCCTGAGGGTTTAAATATCCTTTAAAGGGAATGCATTGTGGTTTTATACATATTTTCTTGATGCATAAATAACTAAAACATAACAGTTTAAAAAAAAGATATGCAATTAGTGTAATATAATATATTGCACATGAGCTAATGACAAACAAAGATTTGTTTTGTCCTGGTAACTTCATCTGTAAAGAAAGGATATATAATGAATCATTTTTTTGCCACCTTCTGTCTTTTGTTCCACCCAGGCGTTAATTTCTTTTCTGCAGTCCTCCGCCTTTTCAGAAAAGTCTACAGCTTGTAAATCTGCACGATAGTGTTTCAGAGTTGATCTGAGAAAGTCCTGAATAATTAAACAGCATTAATAGCATCACTGCGCGAGAAGAAACATGTATTGCAGATCATAGTTTAATAACCAAAGCTAGTAAGAGTAAAGCCTGTTACTACAAAACCAAAAAACAGACTTTTCCAGCAATATGGTTAAATCTGCTATTTGATTACTCACTGTAAAGCCCTGTGGTATATAAAGTGTGGCCCTTGGGCCTTAATAGTCAGTAGTGAGATCATTGATTTGTAAAGGGGTCTTTAGTGACAGTAATCTCCAGTAATCAGTTTTATGTAACATTTCCCCAGTCTATGACTGTCTCCTACTGCATGACCTCAGTCTACAACCACTCCTGTAGAACTTACCAGTCCCTCTGGTAAGTCTTCAATCTGTTACAGTCTTTGGTAGCATTACATATATAAAATATTACATGTGGCCCTTTGGAGACATCAAGGGATGCATTTGAGCCCTCGATAACTTGTAAGTTGACAACCACTGGCCTAAAGTATGTGTACAACAACCTTTTTTTTTGTTCTGGATAGAGTAAGGAAGGGTTAGAACCTATTTTTAACTGATATTCAGGGCTGCATTAGAATGTTTTCCACTCACTTACTGTCCCAGTGACCACAGCTTCAGAAGTCATGGAATATCTGCTACTGGGAAATAGACAAAAATTAAAAGCTAACAGGTTCAAACCTTTCCATTCTCTGCAAGGAGTGGACAAATTAATATGGAATTCAGAAGCCAGCAGGTTTTTATTTTTAGGAGCCAGCTCTGTTGAAAACAACTAGAAAATAACCTAAAAAGTTAAGCGCTAATTGCATTTTTAAGGAGCATTGACTACCTGGCTCCTGTGATTTGTTCAGCCCTGCTCTACTCCTAAAAAAATAAAAAACATTTTGTCTACGTTGCACGTTCGTGCAGTGGCAGAGAATGAAGAAGTGCACGTCTGTGCAGGGGTATGTGAGTAAGTGTGTGTGGGTGATGAGGCGGTGAGTGGGGTACTGCATGTGGCTGAGGGTGAAGTATGCAAGTCAAACGAGAAGAGCACATCGTTACAGAGGCAGTGATTGAGGGAGTGCATGTTGCTGCAGTAGCAGAAAGTAGGGTAATGTGCATTGGTGCAGTGAGTGCAGTGGAACACAGTCAAGTGGTGCATGTCAACACAGTTGTGGGAGTAAGGAAGTCCACTTCATTGCAGTGAAGGAGAGTGTATTCACTGCAAGTTAATGCAGTTCCAGAGAGTGACATAGTACATGCTGATGCAACGGCAGTGAGTGGGGTCATTAGAGTTGGTGCAATAGCGACAAGTGCAGAAGTATACAATAGTGCAGTGATGGTAACTAGAGTAGTGCGCATCAGTGCAGTGGCAACAAGCAAGAATGTACACAACAGTTCAATGGATAGAGAGTGGGGTAGTATGCACTGGTGCAGTGGTGGAGAGTGAAGAAGTGCATACCAGTGTAGTGGCAGAGAGTGAGGTAATGCACTTTTAAAAAGTGGATGTCAGTGCTTTGTCAGAGAGTGAAAAAGTGCATGTAAATACAATAGAAGGGAGTAAATACGTTTGCATGGGTGCAGTGGAGATGCATACAGAAGTGTTTGTTGATGCAGTATTTGAGTGGTGTAGTACTCATCAGTGCACTAATGGCAAGTGAGTTTGTGTGTGTTGGTGCAATGGTAGCAAGTACCCATAAGTGAGGTTATAATTAGTAGTATAACAACAACAACAATCCTCCTACCATTCCTCTTACCAAATCTCCTTATATGTAGTATTTTTTTAGCAAAGTACTGTCTTTTTATTTCTTTTCTCTCCCTCTTCCATACCCCTTTCTGCCAAACCCTCTATGTAACCCTCTTCTAGTAAACCTCTCTTATGCATCCTTCTAGCAAATATCTCACCTCAGTATTTACTTCTTTGTTGTTTTTCATTTAATTACTTCTTTGTTGTTGGAAAGCTCATTTTTGTACTTCTTGTGGACACCCCTCTTCAATACCCCCAACCTCTCCTTCTGCTTTCATATCATTATATATAGTGCCAGCCTACTCACTTTCCCCTGGCACAGCAGCTCTGAGTGTCTACTGCCCTTGTTAGAATGTGCTAGTGTTATGCAAGAGGCCAGGGCCTATTATGCACATGGGAATACAATGCCATGTTTCATCAGCGAGCTCTAAGATGCCTACTGTGCAGCATGACTATCCTAGAAGTTTTACAAAACATTGTGCATGCCCCAGGCCAGCACTATATTGCTGAATCCAGTGCAAAGCAATTCATTAAAGTTAAACTTTGAAGGTTACGTTTTCGCCACTGAGCAATTCTGTATACCAAGAGCATTCATGGTTGAAAAAAATTTGACAAATATACAGCTATTTCTGAAGAAATTTGGAAAATGAACAAGTATGAGGGCTTTAAATGGACTAGACATTGACACTGGGCCCTGTTATGTAAATAATAGAGCTAAATAGAGCCCAACCATGCATGTTTTTTAACCTCTTAAGATTATTCAGAGAGTAAAAATTACCCATATGGGTTTTTTAAATCCAAGAATAATGTGTAAACAAACTTAAAATGTTAGAGTAGACCTATCTACTTTAGATCACATAATGAGGCTGCTATACTAAAGGATTGAAGAATGTCCACACAATAAATTGTGTCAAGATTCCCTTTAAATTATCAAATTATGTGCAGAAGAAATAAGTAAACAGGGATTTTCTTGCTTGGATAATTTCATTGAATCTTCGTACAATTTATTGTGTGAACTGTCTTAAATCGCTTAATAAGTTGTCCTAATTGTCTGAAGACCAAAGGGGAGCAAAAAGCTACATTAAAATAGCACCATTTACTAAATCATTTAAATAATTCATGTTATATCATCGATAAAGTTATGCAATATTACACTAAGCTAAAGGTAAGCTTACATCAAGGAAGGTAAATGTCTTTTCTCCATACAGACGATTGGCAGTTCTCAACAGGTAGTCAGTGCCTGGCTTGTTAATTTCAGAGATAAGGGACTGGAAAGATGAATGGACATTTTTTGCCTTGTCAAACTGAAGAACCTGAAAAAAAAAGAAAAAAGGATAGGTTACCATTACCATCGACAGCAGGGGACTACATAATATTATATGTTCTACTGAGGGCTGCACTTATTGCTAAATATACTAACAGCTTTCTGAGGTAATTCTAAAACTATAGAAAAAATACACATTTAGTAAATGATTTTGTGCATTATATTACTGAGTGGCAAAATGCCTTTAAAGAGCTAGAAAGCATTTTCTGAACTAGTCAATATTAGGAGTCTTTTCATGAAGCAGCCGAAGGATCTAGCTGTAGCTTCGGCCGATCCTTTGGCTAGCTTCGGCCCCAGGACCCCTTCGGTTCAGTAGAACCAAAGGGCTGCTGTACGGGCTATTCACAATATCTTACGGCTGGCTCCCGCCACTTGCAGAGAGATCAGCGTCCCTGGTTACCAGCTAAACAGGGACACTGATCTCCAGACAGCAAACTCTCCCGGGCGCTCCGGGAGTCTCCCGCTCCTGGCCGCTCAGGAGAGAAACGCTGCTTTTTCTTTTTTTTCTTTATTCTAACACAGTGTCAGAATAAAGAAAAAAAAAAGAAAAAGCAGTGTTTCTCTCCTGGGCGGCCGGGAGCGGGAGACTCCCAGAGCGCCCGGGAGAGGTTTTTTTTCAATTTTTTTTACGCCAGCAGAACCGCCGGCCAAAAGAAAACTATTGGGCGGAGCTAGCTGTCATTCCTAGCTCCGCACAATCATTTTCTATTTAAAAAAAAAAACTTTTTAAACTATTTTTCTGTTCTGCTCGGTCCCTCTGAGGGACCGAGCAGAACAACCAAGCCGAATGCCGTTCAGCGGCATTCCGCTATTCACTCACTGCTGTTCAGCATCTATAAGAACAGGCCGAACAGCAGCTAGTAGCCTGCTCGGAGGTTCAGCTCAGCCGATCAAGATGTTCGGCCGACCAGAAGCCATGCAAAGCAAGCCGATGTATGGCTGATTTCAGCCGATATACGGCTGAAATCAGCCATACAAGCCTGAAGTGAATAGCTGAACAGCGTTCGGCTCACTTTACTTCAGGTCGGTCTTTCACTCGGCTGCCTGCGGCAGCTTAGTGAATAGACCCCTTAGTGTTAAAGACACCTAAAATGTAAAAGTTAAAAAAAATTACAATTTTGATGGTGGCCCCACAACATGGACAAATTGCAACCGAAATGTGCAAAATAAAATCTTGCATTGTGCAGATAAATAGAGAAGAATTTGAGTCCCAGCACTTGCTGGTCAAAAGTTGCCTAGGTTGCGCAGATGTATCTTGGCAGATGAATGCAATTATAATTCCTCACCCATAACTGCCCAGTGGTATTCCTGGTATCTTATTTTCTCAAAGATCATATTGTAAGAATACAAGGTCTTTGTGATATACAGAAGCTAAAAGAGAAATAAAGCCAACCCTTTTTTTGGCTCTACTTCTCTTTTGGGTCACAGCTGTACATTTATTAATGTACTGCTGTGACCCAAAGTCAGCAGATAGCGGGCTAGTAACACAGAGCCGTGCTGCAGCCAGGGAGGATCCCGACAATATTGTCAAGAGCCACCCTGCTGCCTGATTGACAGCGGGTTATGTCTATCTAGAGCCAGAGCCAGCTGTGCCTGCTCCCACCCCTGTCTGTCCCTCCAATGACCGCTGGAGGAACAGAGAGGGGAACTTCTGCAGGGAATCACTGCTCTCTGCAGGGAGAAGAGACAAGAGCTGAGAAATCAATGGTTTACATGATCAAAATAGCTCTTGCTATAGAGCCGGCATGGGATAGCTGCAATGCTCTAAGCAGTGTCTATGGGAGGAGTAATTCTACTTTAACGCAAACAGGTAAAAATGGAGTTAAGCATCCAGGTCCTGACTAGAAGTTGGGGCGGGGTAGGTTGCATGGTCCTAAAAATATTTGTCCACAAATGTGAGTGGCCAAAACTTCGTTGTCTAAATATTCAGTATTTGAGCCAAAAATCATCTTTTTGCCGGGAGAAAAAGGAAGGACTAGAATTCCTTTCTGCTTAATCGACACCTGAGTAGATAACACTCAAGTAGGGGAAGCACCCAAACATGTGCCTAATAACAGTACCTTAAGTCTATAGTTACCTAACTTGGGCCCTTGTTTGTGCAGCATTATGTGCCCCATTTTACAGTTTAGCTTAAATAATACAAGAAATAGCTGATAAAATAAATACATTTTACCTAAGGACCATGAAAATATGATAGGTGTTTGTATACAAACAGCATGTAGATTCATGAGCAAAATTCTGGGATCATTTTAGAGTAAAATAACAACTGTACTAGATGCTACCATACAGTAATATTGGGGGAGTAGAGGGTTTTCTTCAAAAGGGGTCTATTTATAAAGGTTTACTTTTTACTGTGCCAGAAATACAATCTAGTGATACGCAGGCAATCTTGACCTTTATAGAACAAACATTCAGCAATTACTAACCAGTTCAGTCTAATGTGGCTAGTTTATGTGCATCCATACAGAAATGCATTTATTTGTTAGGTTTGTAATTTTATATACAGACCTTTGACATCTGAGCAGCAGTATTTCCTCGGGCTCCCATGTAAATCATTGCCAGAGCTGAGGAGATGCTCAATGGGGAGAAGAACACGTTGCCTTTTGAATCTTTTTCATTCAGCTTCTTAAATAATTCAAGAGCGAAGGATCCATTCGCTACATTGAGAGAATCCATTCTTCAAACCTACAGGATTAATAAGGGTATACTATATAAATTCATGCTATACAACATTGAAGTGTATGTCAAGGCAAAAAACCCCCACAAAAAACACACACATGCAGGACATCTCTGCAACACGTGCACACTTTGCCATTTTTTTCCCTTTAAAGACGCTGCAATTACTGAAAAATACCTGTTAATCTGCCAGAAATGCACTCAGCTTTTAGGCCATGTTGTAGGGCTGACAACATATTGTAGAATGACCGCCGTTGACACTTCCTAGTGTCTTTTGCTAAACTACTCACTCCCACTCTCAGATCCCTACAATATAAAGGATAATTATTCCATGGTCCAAGTATAGAACTGGGAGGTTAAAATAGCCTCTTTGAGATAACACAGGAAGTGTTCACAGGACAGCTCTGAATTTCTGACATTATTAACAGGTTATCAAACAGATATAACAAAATGCTTCCAATAGTATAACCAACAGACCAAAAGGGTGCAGGTTGGAGGAGCCCATTGCTACAGTTTACTTACACTTTAAGGTTAATGATTTAAAAACAAAAAATGTTTAGGGTCAGCTGGCGGCCGCTGTCAGAATACAATGTACATAGCGGGGAGTCATCTTCTTTCCTGTAGTTTTCAGGAGTCCCTCCAGAGTTGGTGCCAGTCTCAATACATAGCAGTCTAAAGGCAGTGGGAAAAGCCCCTAGCTTAGCTGATATGCCTTTGAAAAGTTCCAGGCAAGAACAACCCTTGTGACCATGCTGTATTCATTTAAAAGCTTTAAATTATAAATTAAATTTGATATTTATTATTTCTTTTTAGCTTTTTAATTTTTGCTCTTATCCCAGACACGTTGTCCTTAAAGGATAATTAAACCCTCTGTTTTTTTTTTTTATATATCTACTGCTAGCTAGCAGTAGATATATGCAAAAACATTAAAAAAAAATTAACTGAACCGAGTTGCACTTTGAGTGGTGAGGATTACTGATAAAAGATTTTTAATTATGCATAGAAACAAAGCCAAGGAAAAAAAAACCCCTATCATAAAGACATTACCATGCTAAAATACCCCATAAATCATTGTGCAACTATGACTGCCACCAGTGTGGAAGTGTGCCAACATGGGAATGGGGAATTATAACAGACCTGTGATACCGGCACTTACATTTTTCAAATTGACTTGGGTATCTTAGGTTCGGCAAATGCTAGGAAACTTACGACAGTCTTCTGGGGAGTCATGCGATGCTGGTTTACAACGCTTCTGCCACTCGCACAGCTCCCCTTACTAAGACCCCCCCACCCCTCCTAACACCCTCTGCCCAAGACATCAGGACAGTACCCTGGAGTAGAGTGGCAGCACAGAGTATGTAGCAAATTCACAAACTATTATTCTGCATTGCTCTATGTTTTCCTGGGATTTGTAGTCCTCTATAGCTGATGATATTATTCCGCATTGCTGTATGATGTTTTGCTGAGATTTGTAGTGCTCTATAGCCGGCGCCATTCTGTATTGCTGTATGATGTATCGCTAAGATTTGTAGTCCTCTATAGCTGGTGGTATTCTACATTGCTGTATAACATAGGGGATTATTTACACAGCCCTGGTGTTTGCTGAAATTGCTTTAAACTATAAAGAAAAGCTTTTGAGACTTTTCCTCTCTTTCTCAGATCTAAAGCAATACCTAAGGAAGAAAGGACAACTCTTGAAAGTTTGTCTTTTAAGTATTAGATAATTACAATAAAAAGGTATCATTGCATACCGCAATACTCTGGTATTTTGTACTATTAATTATATTCTGTATGCATATTTAGTTTTTTTCAGTGGTTGAATTAAGTGGTGAAAATTATTCGTGCCCCCCCTCCCAAGTTTTGACTGTGGTATCTTATGTGCCCCCCCTATATATTTGTTTCTAGGGTCGCCACTGAGTGTAGGTAATAGAAGGAGCTCACCTGTCCAAAGAAGCCTGGGATAGAGGAGAGTGCACGGTGATAAATGCTCAGACACACTGAATGCAGCACAGGGAACTCAGCAGGAAGATATCATGGTGTGTTCCAGAAATGTCCACGCCTCTAACTGCTGACCAGCCAGGCCAGTCACTGTTCACTGTAATAAACGGAAGCAATGCACTTCATACACCGTACCAGCTGCCACCAGAGGCATTGCACTTCATACACCATGTCAGCTACCATCAGAGGCATTGCACTTCATACACCATGTCAAGTGCCATCAGAGGCATTGCACTTCATACACCATGTCAGCTGCAATCAGAGGCATTGCACTTCATACACAGTGTTAGCTACTATCAAAGGCATTGTACTTCATACATCGTTTGAGCTGCAATCAGAGGCATTGCATTTCATACACCGTGTCAGCTGCCATTAGGGGCATTGCACTTCATACAGTGTGTTAGCTGCTATATTGCACTTCATACACCGTGTCAGCTGCTATCAGAAGTATTACACTTCATACACCATGGCAGCTGCTATCAGAGACATTGCACTTCATACCCCTACCAGCTGCTATCCGAGGCATTGCACTCATACACCGTGTCAGCTGCTATCAGAGGCATTGCACTTCATACACTGTGTCCGCTGCTATCAGAGGAATTGCACTTCATACCCCAGGTCAGCTGCGATCAGAGGCATTGCACTTCATACACCATGTCAACTTCATACACCGTGTCAGCTGCTATCAGAAGTACCACTGAAAAATGCAATACCGGCGCCCCCGGTTTGCAGAAAAATCCGGCTGTAAAGTTCATTGGTACACCATAGAGGCAGCTCCCACCGGTCAACACTGTGTTGCTTTTGTTTCCCTGCTATCAGAAGTATTGCACTTTAGACACCATGACAGCTGCCATAAGAGGCATTGCACTTCATACCCCGGTCAGCTGCTATCAGAGGCATTGCACTTCATACACCGTTTGAGCTGCTGTCAGAGGCATTGCACTTCATACACCGAGTCAGCTGCTATCATATTGCACTTCATACACCATGTCAGCTGCCATCAGGGGTATTGCACTTCATACTCCATGTCAGCTGTAAAGCAGCCACACTCAAGCCCCGCCTACAAGCATCAGTACAGCACCATACTAAAAAAACATGCTCTATTGCCTTCTTAGCAGGGGGCAGAAGCAACATACTAAAATACGATTATTGTTATTATGTGTGTTTAGAGCTGGAAGTGACATCAGAGGTGTGTTGAGTGCTGGAAGTGACATCAGGAAGGGTGGCTTTAAGGGCAGAGCACCAGAGACAGTACTGAGAGTAGGATGCAGATTGGTCTCCCCTCATGTTAAGCTCTGAAAGAAATAGCAGTTGTAATCAGCTCACTGTGTTACGTGGATCTCGTGACATGGTGTCATAAGTACTTACCAGCACATCTGTTTTGATCCGTGAAGATGTGTAAGTTCACTCCACCGAAGCCATTTGATTTATCTCAGCCTGATGCATGGCCTGCCTGATGACAACGGTTTGCACGCTTCAGGATTGCTTCCATGCTGGATAGGAGAGCAGTGAGGTACAAGTCAATTCTCTTTTATATTCCATGGGGAAAGATGTGGAACCTGTGTACAATACACATTCCGTGAAGGTGAAGAATTTGACTTTGAGATAGTCATGAATAAGCTCAGCGCCCATTTTGTGCCCAGGAGGAATGTAATTCATGAGAGGGCCAGCTTTCACAAGCGCTCCCAGCGTGTGGGTGAATCAGTGGAATCGATTGTGCGCAGCCTATATGAATTGGCAGAGTTCTGTGAATTTGGTGCTGCCAACGAGGAGCAGATCAGAGACAGAATAGTCATAGGAATTCAAGACTCAGAAGTCTCACTGAAGCTGCAGCTGGAGTGTGAGTTGACACTTGATGAGGCTATACGGATGGCCCGCCAGAATGAACTGGTAAAGAAGTGCAGATATGAGATCTGAAAGCATGGTGGAAGAAGTGCGGCAATTCAGGAGAGCTGCAAGTGACAGAGTGGGAGAGGCAGACTGCGAACAGCAGACAGGCTAAGCAGTGTTTGGGTGCAACAGGCTCGTTGCAAGTGCTGTAACCGCACTCATGATACAAAGATGTTATGCCGTGCTAAAGACAAGAGATGCAGGAAGTGCAAACGAGTCGGCCATTTTGAGGTGGTTTGCAAATCAGAGTCCATTAAGGAGATGCATCTAGACAGTGACCAAGAGACACAAGAAGTGTCCTTTGTAGGGTCTGTGATTGAACAGTCGGGCTCTGATGAAGATTGGCGAGTTACAATCAAAGTGATGGGAGCAAGGATTGACTTTAAGATTGATACAGGAGCTGATATTACTGTCCTGTCTCTTGCAATGTTCATGAAGCTGCCACGACAACCATAGCTTGAGAAAGTTATGATAAAAGTTCACAGCCCTGGAGGTCGCATTGATTATGTCGGGAGGTTTCTTGCCAGAATTGAGTACAAGCAAAAGAAATGTACTCTGTCGGTGTATGTAATCAGAGGACAAGGTGTTAATAACCTTTTGAGCAGGACAGCAGCCTGTAGTCTGGGCCCTGTTGTACGAGTGAATGAGATCACGAAGGACATGTTTGGAGATCTGGGCCTGCTAAATTGTGAGCCGGTCCACATAATGCTTAAGACGGATGCCATCCCATACACCATTGCTACACCTCGTAGGATTCCATTTCCACTTATGCCATAGGTGAAAGCGGAAATTCTGAGAATGAAGAGTATGGGTGTTATTGAGGAAGTTACGGAAGCAACTGACTGATGTGCTCCCATCGTGCCGGTTGCTAAGAAAAATGGGAAAGTTTACATTTGTGTGGATTTATAACATCTGAATGAGGCT